ACCCGAAATAGTTGAAACACAAATGCCCAAGGGCAAGGAATAAGAACAATCATCATCCGCCCATGCAGGCACAGGAGATCGGAGGTCAGGTAAGCTCGAATCAAGGCCTGACTCGGAGACTAGGCCTAAATAGCTAAGTAAAGCACAAGGGCCCAGATGCCTACTCGCATAAAAAGTCGCACTTAAAATCCTCCAGGCCTATTTAAGTGAGCTCCGGATCCATCGGGCTCCCGCCGGACACCAAAACCAGCCCGCCTGGTCGAAAGAAATGTAGAAAGAGATACAAAGGAGGTAAAGCTTCAAGTTTCTTTCCTTTTCGCAAGCTCAAAAAGTGCGGTCTCCATCTACAAACATGCTCTATGAACAGCGAATACAAAATGGCAAAATCTAGGCTCCGCTCCAGAAGGTTACGACCTACCAGCCCTAGCTTCGCTCAAACTCTTCTAGGAGGAAAAGACCCCTGGCGATGATCTCTTCGGGCATCTCTCCTCAGGATTCACAACGAATGTATCCCTCGATCCTTTTCTCACGATCGAGGTCCTGCTCCAACTCAGCTCGGACATCAAAGACGTCCTTCAAATGGATCACCATTGCATCATCAGCCTTGGTCCGACCTAGTGCTGCTTCAGTCCAAGCGTCGATTATTCTGACCCGAACCTTCGAGAGCTCAGACTCCAGCTTCATGATCATATCCACTCGAGTCGAAACTTGAACCTGCACCTAAGCCCTCGGTTCACCACAAGCATTACTAACTCGGTCGGCGTCGCCCTTAAGGTACTCCTAAGCCTTCGTCTTTTTTTGCAACTAAAGAATAAGCGAAAGCCTAACCTCAAAGGTTAAAAAAGGCGAAACGCTTACTATGAAAGGCCTCCTGCCCCATCAAATAGCTCTCGTAACTCGAGTTCCGGTACGCCCCATATTTCCAGTACATCAAATCAAATTCCTTCCCCACGCCAAAGAGCATAAGGGACTCACCCTCATCCAGAGCCCTCCGAGGTCTAGCCCCATGGCGGAGCAGCTCAAACCTGAGCCTATCAAAATCCTGCAAGAGGAAAACTTGATAAATAAGGGAAGACACGAAAAGCGGAAGAACTATGCCGAGGCTCACCGCAAAGTGAAGCCGGTGTACTTCTACAAAGGCCGAAACATATTCCTGCAGGCCCATCCCCCTCGGCCTTGGAAAGAACCGACCTCGGTTGAAGCATCATCACTCAGAGGAACCACTGCTCCGGGATCAAAAACTTCAAGAACAGTAGGCTCGGACGATGTTCTCTTACCGGAGACATGAACCCATTTAGCCTCATTAAAAGCTCTATCGCCCTACGAGCCCGTATCCTATCTATCATCTATCGCCATCGTCTCCTGGCTCGGAAGCCTACAACTCCTCCCCATCTCCGGAGAAGCAGGCCTCTCCTCAGGGGGATCATCCGATACCTACAGATGCCCATCTAAACATGATAGGAGAAGGCATAACTAGCAAAGCGCGGCGCATGCCTCCTAAAGAGTATTGTCAGTTTTTCGAGCAAATATCATGGGTTCCTAAGGTATAATACCAGTGGTCAGCACCCGAGCAAAGCGATTTGTCCATGACCGGTCTCTGTCGTCCCTAGCAACAGCGATCAAGGGCGTGATCAATCGGTACCATGGAATCAGCAGGCCCCAATGGCCCCAAAAAATGGGGGGGAGGGGAGGGGAGCTTCCCCCCCTTCGGATTAATCCCATTATTGCCGCCATAGCAGCCGCAAAATTAGAAGACTAAAAGGCGGGAAGACGTACATGAGTGTTTATACCGGAAATGCGGCGCGGAAAAAGGCAACTACATGAGACAGAGTAACTCCTGGGAGGGAGGAAATAGCCTTATGCCATACATTGGAAGAACTGCAACGACTCAAAGCCGACCGAAGACGCCAACCAATAGCACCACCTCCAGCCTTGAGGTAATATTCAACCCCGAAGACCTCCGTCATAATAAGACGACACAACAGAGGGCCAACAACACCTTCACCAACACAAGATTGGCACGCAACTTCAAAGGTCTCCACCAAGGGAAACCACTCTGTGAAGAAATAAGCGTTTTTTGAACAACGCCCATACAAAATGGGCTTCGGGTGTTGTCCATGATGATCCAAGCATGAGAGAGCCTCCATTTAGAGGCTACTTTCAGGAAATCACCGGCGTCTCCTGTCCACGTGTCCCCGAGCAAATTTCTTCTCGAGGGTTATTATGAGGCTCGAAAACATTATCCACGCTTCCACGCGAAGTCAGGGTCCCGGCGGTCTGAGTATATTGGCCTTATTCGGGTTCAGCCCGAGGAACCACGAAAGGCCCCGCACGAAGCCGTTTCCATCAACCGAAGGCCGGGAGGAATACTTGCATCCGAGGTTAGTATTACAGACGACAAAATAGGATCGTGCATTCAGAGTTGCCGCAAACATAAAGAAATACATCAAGTATCAAAGGCAGGAATCAAGGAAATATCTTTGTATTCATAAAATGTTCACTTACAACGACCCTCGGGGGGTCCTTACATATGATTACAAAAGCCCACAAGGGGATCCTTACATAGAAAAAAAGAAGTTCAAGGATATGCATACAACAAGAGCCTAAGAATCTAGCCTATTCCCAAAATGCGGCATCTCTGTCATCATCCCCTCAAGCGTATGACCTCAAAGACAATATCTTCCAAGTCCAATCCCCTCGGGGACCTCATCCTGATCCTCCCGGAATGCCATCTTTAAAAGGAAGGATATATAAGAGGAAGGCGGGGAGAAGAGCAAAATGACGAACGAGAGGACGGAAGAAGACAAGAAGTGGCTGGGTGAAAAATTTGGCTAGTACAAACTCTGGCAGTACTACCATTATAAAGCCACTTCTTGAGACGTTGCCTCGGCTCGGGAGGCAACAGCCAGCAGAGACTATTGCCATATCCCCCTAGAATCCAAAGGGGGTGTAACATGCCAAGCCGAGGAAGGAGGGTGAGCAGCGGTGTATAATCCGAGCCCCCTCTTGAGCAGCGGTGCATGATTCGAATATCTCCCCGGGTCGGAATAAATTGGTCCCCTACTTCATCGCCCCGAGCCAATAGAGACAGCAACAACAACAACAATAACAACAACAATAGCATCACAGCGGCACAACTTCATCCAACCAAAGAAGGATCGAGAGTTGGGCCATGGCACACATGACATAAGATCTTAAGGCCGTGGGCCTCAAAAAAATAATGAGATAGCAAAGAGTAAAAATGGAAGGAAAGGAGGAAAGGATGGGTATCAAAGGAGGTTTGAATGAAAAACTGATCACAAGAAGCCCCATTTATAAGGGAAGGGCAAAGTAACCGACGGCGCCATTACCGCTATCGAAAAGCATAACGGCAGGCACAATCAATGCATTTATTAAAGCTAAATCGATAGCAATGATATGAACCCGAAGAACGAGGAGTCACGACATTTCAGATGATCCTGGAGAAGCGAAAGGGAGAAACGCCTCGGCACTTGTAAAAGGGGCTACGCCGTCAGCACGACGTCATTAAGGGAGCCCAAGAAGTGAGGTGTCAAAATAATTTCTTATCGCTTTCCTATAAGAAACGCGGAGACTATCCGTGCACGGTGAAATCGAAGGGCCGATTTCTCATTGACAAAATGCTTCAGAAGGTCACCCCGGAGGCCTAGGACCTCGAGCCGGTCACTACCCTCAAGATCTGTCGACACCCAACCAAGGATAACATCGGCCGAAACCCCGACGAACGCGTGAAGCTCCCGAAGAATGCATCCGGAGTCCATTAAGTCTATTTTAGCAGCTCAACATCGGCCCACGCATACGTCATAAAGCTAGTTGCCTGTCCCATTTTATTTCCTTTATCACACAACGTATCTTGTACTAAGTTTGGGCTCCCCCCTCTTATAAAAGGGGAGTCGTTAACACCCTGTAAGGCAGAGCTCCAACTATTCTCCATAAGATAAATAATATATCTCTCTCTCTTTCTTCTCTCTAACTGGCTCGTCCTTACTAGCTCAAGGCCACTTTAGCATTTACTACTCTCTCACTTGTTCTTCATTTATTGCTTGGTATTGGCCATAAAGAGCCTTGTTTGATCACATTCTAACTGTTATCCCATTCCCGACTACCCCCGATAGCTCGAGATCGAGCCAAGATATCGACCTCGAGGTCCTCCATCGACCAGTCCGAAGCTAGGGAAGCAAGCCCCTCGGTTTGATTACCGCCCCGTTTTAGCTTGTATTTTATCGTAAAACTTCATATTCTTAGCACCGTCTGCTCTACAACTAGCATAAAAATAGATCACGTATTTTTAGAATCTCATTTATAGATTTAATTGTCGTTACCATTTTCACGGTAAACAGGCATGAATCGGGTAATTATTATGTCATAAAAGTTCCATCGGTATCGGGTGCGAGTGGCGGCCACGTCTCATCCTGTTTTGGGCGCAAAATATTAAAACATTTTTCATATATACTCCCTCCATTCACTTTTACTTGGCATGTATACTTAAAATAGAGTTTCATTTTTACTTGTCATTTTACGCATATTAAGAGAAGATAGATCTTTTTTTCTATTATACCCATAGTATTTATTACTCATTTTATATTATTTTCTCAAATTCAATAAAATATGCATCAATTAATATAGGTATCATGGTAAATTATGCACTTTATTTATTATTTCTTAAGGGACATGAAAAGTCAAAACATGTCTAGTAAAAGTGAACGGAGGGAGTAGATATCTATCGACTTGCTCCTCGTAAATGTCTATCCTTCATATTGGCGTGAACTCCTTGCGCCTCGGTACTTCTAAGTGAAATTTTCACTTTGTTCTTTTCCAACATGTCGTCCAGACATACCCATTGTCTGAAATGTAAGTAATAGTGAAATTCAAACCCATTTCCCGTTTCCAGAACTCTTCTTGTTTTTTTCCCTCCTTCATGTGCCATTAATTGAACCAGAAATGAAGAGGTTATGTCATGTACAGATATAGTTTAAGCATGATGTTTGAACTTTATCCGGCATGTATATTTCCAGTTATTGTAACATACATTAACTATTGGGGACGTGGTACACACAAACAAATAAAGACACAAGTATTCTTTACATGAGGTCTCAGCTTTCATCTATCAAACCTACAACTCGATGTGACCGTCAAGACTACAAAGCCTGAGACACAAAAGAGCTGAAGCTAGGTTCAGTAATGAGGCCTCAGAATGGAGACTGCTTCCCCCTTTAGCCGCGGCTTGAATCAAGATTGGTTGGGCCAGTGACCTTCAAAAATGGATGGTAAAACCAAAAAAAAAAAAAAAAGAAACTGAAGGTTGATATAACAGTTGTACAAAGAGGAAGGCTTTGAAGAATCATTATTAACTCAGGGTTTCATTCTTTCAACTTTTTGAATAGAATACTTGAGTTCCTTCTGAATGTTCAATCTAGAAGGTGACATGACAATATCTTTCCAAACTGAGCCAGATTGATAAGCTGGATGAGGGTTCTTGTAAAGTTCATATATGGAGTCAGCTCCTTCGTTCAACCTCCCTACCACATCCAATACATCTATCTCATCACGGTCCACCAACAATGTCCTGTCTCTATCCTTCCATCCTATCAACTTTTGAATACTCCTTGTTAGTACATATGCCATTACATGAAAAATGTCTAGACAATCAGAATGTGCAGATATATAACTTATTAGTTGTACCTTAGGGGGGCCTTCCAAAGTATTAGTGGAATATAACCTTGCATTATCCACAAGCTGACAGTATGTATTGAATGCTCTAGCAAATCTCTTGTGTGACTTAAGTTGTGAGTTTACCCGAACAGCTCTCCTACACATGATAGCTCTCCTGTAAAGAATAGAAACAAACTTAATGCTAGGAGAATTAGCAGATTTGTCTGTTTTTTACTGGAGTGTATATGTTAATAGTAATTCTTCTCCATTTTCATATCAACATTCTTTATCTTTCTTTTTCTTCAGCCACCACGTAAGTTTTCTTGACCCCTGTTCCATTTTTCTTTTGGCAGATAATTGTGTTATCAGGGTCAGCTTGTGCGCGCCGATATGCCTACTACCACCAGACAGGTACCTAGAAACTCTTCCCATCAATACTAATGCAGATGGGAAGAAATTACCTAGTGTTCCTTCAGTACTTTATGACTATGATTCACGCATTAGTTAGATCTTTTGCATACCTTATGCCTCTAACGACGGCTAAATAAGCATCACAGACAACTCCAACCAATTCTATTCTATAAGGTCTTCTCTTTCTAATTCCATCAGTTTCTTGTTCTTCATCAATCTGTTCCCAGTAGTTTTCAGTAGCACTTCCATCGTCCTCTATTTTGTAACCGGGCCCCATGCGGTAGCGGCGCCGGTGAACGTTTCTAGCCATGGTTATTGTCTGCACTACAAAGGGTATCCATGACAGCGTGCCATCCATGATCACATCCCTTCCTTCATTGAGTGCTGTTACAAGCAGGGATGATGCTGCATCTGTTGATGACTGATGTACCTGCAAATTGCATGAAATTTACTTCTTAAATAACCAAAAGAATTCAAGGACATAAATATCGTAAAAAAGGACCTAAGTCCTCCAAATGTTTTAGATGAAATATTATTTAGAATTTGTTTCCAGTAATTGTTAGCCTTCTTATTAAAAGACTCTTTTACTCATAATAATTGATAGAATAGTTTGCAGGAGGTACACATCTTTCTTCTCAATGTGGAATTACGTAGATAGTCAGCCTGCATGTTTGATAACTGCGCTAATGTACTGACTATATCGGCACCATAGCAGTAGCATACCACTTTGGACCTAGCTGCCGGCCTAGCTAGTTACCTATGAGACAAGATTTTTCTCCAAATAAACTAGTGAATGCTTTGCAGCAGATATAGCATTTGGATGAATTCACATGATTTTCTCTCCCTATGCCACATTCGACAGGTAGACCGGGCATCAGAACCTCGGATTAGCACAGAGATGCAACTCTTTATGCGTAACATTTCAAAGGGGTTTGGGGTAATGGGAAGGTGGGGGTGGGGGGTTAAGAAGAATAATAACCAGTTCAGCAGTTTGCAGCATGTCATGATGTCCCCTGGAGCTAAGAGCTTTGTAAATAACATCTGATTCTTTGAAGGCATCTGCTTCTATCACAACAACATTAGCTGCAGCTCCAATCCAGAATGGTCTGCATCCAAATTTTGGCAGTCACTGCATTAGTATCTTTCACATAATGATTTATCACCTCCATTGAAAGAACACCTCATTAGAATCTTACACACACATATGCATGTATATATATATATGTATGTACACTTGCAAATAACGACGTTCTTACTCTTTGAGAATGTCCTTGAGCACGGTGCTTTTCCCAGCACCCATGCCACCACCCATAAAGAGGAGGACAGGGCTTCTATCTTTGTGAGCCATTGGCACCATCACATCTGTGCACTGTGAATCATCTGAAGAAACAAGTCCTATTGCTTTCATCTCCTCAACTAAGGTAGTAAGAACTCTTGCAACCTTCAGATTCTTTGTCACCCTTTCAAATCTTTGTTCCCTTTATAACGCACAAAACAACAAGATGAATAGTTCATAATATGTACCAAGTTCAGCAAAAGTAAAAATAATAGTATGATTTGATTGGAAGCCACTATGCTAATCTAGTACTGATTTAAGTACTTTCTGACCAGCTAGGGGTTACATAAAATTGGAAAATTTTATTTTGTGTCTCATACAACTAACACTAGTGACAACTTTTTTGTCTCGCAGTTTTGTGGACCCAGATTTCTGTGGACCCAGAAGGGTAAGATTGGGTCCACAAATTTGTGAGACAAAAAGGAAACTCATACAACTAGTGTAAGTTGTACGAGACACAAAATAAAATTTCTCCATAAAATTGTATAACATCTTAGCTAAGGAAATCATAAATGTCAATATCTGGAATATTATCCGAAAGCTGACCATAATAACAATAAAGTTAGGTCATGGTCTCCTGGACGAGGCAGATGGACACCAAACACATCTGGACTTGTCTATACGAAATCTGTTTTCAATTGACTAGAAATCACAGGGAATTACCAATTACCAATAAAGATATTTGGCATAACAACCTTCTATTTGAAATCTCCGTTTTCATGTGGAGGTGAATTCCCCATATTGTAACCTCAGAAGTTCGCTTAAACTATCAAAAAATTAAAAATAAAACATTCAACATCTTCTTTACTATATAAAATGACTTTAACTCAGACTGCTTGGAGTTCTGTTGCAGTAAAGCACGTATCACATCATAAGATTTGTCGACCAGATAGAAATTTCTCAATTGGTTGATATACAAACCAAAAACTAGTTGATCAATCTATCACAAAAAATTATATCATTTAGAAATGCGGAAGGCTTGGTTGTAAGCATGGACGGGAAACTCATAACTCACTTAAGTCATTTTATACAGACCAGCTCTAGAATAGTGTGAAAAGTAAAGGATGGAGAAAATCAAAGCTACTATGGTAACATGGTGAAATCCAGAACAGAAAACAAAAGGTGTGACGGTAACAGTAATGGCAAACAACCAGAATGCACAAAGGAGTGCCAAAGAATTCAAGTTAACTATAAGAGCTAGCGCTACACCTGTTGGCAAAGTAAAAGGCTAAGCAAAGGAACCAAAGCGATGATTCATCAATTATAATCCTAGTAAGTATGAAAGAAATAATGCATCTGACCATGTACACACACTATTCCAGGGATGTCATAAAGGTTGCAGATTCTTTGACATGTAGTTTTGGAAACATTGGGGAATTACCAACAACAAATGAGTATCATAACAACTAATATATTTCATAATGATAATTACATATTCCAAACACGAGAAAAAAGGAGGTACGATTTCATGACATCCTCATCTAAGTATTTACATTTAGACTATCACAATAAACATGTATGGTTCTGTCTAAACCCCTATTAAACCATATGATCCTACAAATAGGATTGTTTGAATTTCTCCCAATTGGCTAAAATTTGGATAAGGCCTAAAAACGAAAATCGATAACGATGGCCATCAATCTGACTATAGGATGAAAGAGCAAATATTAGGAAATACAGTTAATACCTAGTAGCAGCCATGACAATGTTTTGGAGCTTCTTTTTGGGCTCAAAGTGATCAGCACTCAATACCTGAAAGATAATCAAAAGGAAAGGAATGCGAGTTCGTCAACAACAATTCGAACTTAAAATTTTGTTTTTTGAGGTTATAATTTCTGAAGTATGTATCTATTTCTTCTTATTAACTGGATTTACCTGGCTCATCATATATGGAACCTGACTCCAATGGAAAGCGAAGTAACTGAGGATGCATCTCTCAAACTCTTCAACAAGTTTTATAAACAGCGAATCAGCATCTGGTTCATTAGAAAAGTAGCTATACATATCTTCTTCACACCCTTCTGATTTTATTATGTACTCAGTAGCTAGCTTACACATATGCGGACACTCTCTTCTATCTGCAAATCCCATTTGTCTAGCTGCATATTCATACATATATGTTCAGTTTTAAAATCACCTCGTTGAAAGGCTTAAATCTGTTAGAAAGAGAAAACTTTCTTACCGAAATTTGTGATCTAAAACATTTCATGACATTACATAGCGACAAAAGCATGCCATTAAGCATAAAATTGGACCTTTATGGTTAAGAAGTTTTCAAATGTCGAAAAATGTCATTAATGTTGAAACAAACTAAAAGGAAGTGATATAGGAAATAGAACATATCAAGTACTTAAGTTTATCCTTAACACGCCTTTCACGTGCGACCTGGCTTCTTTTTCAAGTAGACGATGGGTGGAAGTGAGGGTTGCTTAGACCTGCTCTAATACAAAGCTAAGGTACGGGACCACGTCATCTAAAAGCTTAAACTTTTAGAGAAACGCACTTTTAATTTCTTAATTACATCTACAACAACAGATATGATCCTAAATATAATAACACTAACCAAAAAAGGAAGAGAGAAACGTAGAAAACCCAAAAGGGGATCCAAGACTTCAATCAAATAATTACCTACATACAAGAACAACCCTTTAAAATCTCACAGGTAATGGATTTGGGGAGGGTAGAGTATACACAGACCTTATCCTACCCGATGGAGTAGAGAGACTGTTTTCGATAGATCCCGGGCTCAAGAAAACGAAAAAGATAGAAAAAGATAATATTCAATAATAACAGCATTATAAGAAACAGAAAATAGTTGAAACACAAAACGGGAGAGAATAATTACCTACATTATGGGAAAAATTTTCAAACTTGAGGACCTTCCTGGTACGCGAAACATCAATACGTGGAATGATCTTCTGGTTTCGGAAATTCTTGAGCCGATAATACACAGCCGCTGAAAGGATTAATCCAATGCAAGATGCTAAAAGGATCTGGGTATAAATAGGCTTTATGTTGAAACAGTAGTACGAAGGAGAATTCAATTCAGAATAAGAAGAAGAAGCAGACATATTAATTCCCATGCAAAAAGGGTCAATTACATTAATGCAGAAATGGCTTGTGTTAATCGTTCAGGTTGTTTTGGTAATCCGATCAAGTGCGAACATGATCTTGAACTTAGAATAAGTTTCACTTCTTCTATTTATATCTTTTTACTTTATCAAATTATCCCAGAAAAGGAAAAGGATAATTAGAGGAATCTCTTTTAGGGGAAAAATGTTTCCTAATTGAACGATACACAATGTGCAGATTCCAATTATTTGACTAATCTACCCTTTGTTTCTAATTGTCATCCTCTTTAACAAATTTTTGAAATAAAAAAAGGAATTGAAATGAAAAACAGAATCTTAAAGTTCCACGCTGCAAAGTACCAAAAGATTGTTTAAAATAGTGAAATAATTTTTGAAAGATAAAAAGTAGACTATACTTGAAAAGTGAAAAATTACTAACGAAATAAATTTACATAAATTTAATCACAAAGCCACGAGAGTTTAATTATAATTCAACTTAGTTGCATGGAATAATTATCGTAAAATTTGAGAAATGTATGTTTTTACCCCCTCCCAAAATAATAGCCGACAAAATATATTTTTGTATTTATGTATATTATATATTAAAATATACATACTTTGTGTACATTTTGACTAAAAAATAAAATTAGTTTCGGCCAATTTTGTATTTTTCCCTAAATTTATTAGTGTTAGAAATTCACAAATCCGAAACGATTGAAATACTAAGAATACTAAGAACTACTCCTTATATTTCAATGCATTCGAACTTTTTCAGAGAACGAAGAACAAAATGACTATTTCTCGATGTGAATATGGATGCAGAATTTTAATTTTTTTTTTTAACAAAATAAAACTTAATATTTAAAGATTATATAAAAAGTACTATAAGCCACAATAGTTAACAGTTCATGAGTATATTCAAAATGTATTTGAACCTGACCAAAGAAATCTTGTTTGACACCCCAAAAATAATAGGTTTGCATAAATCGAAACAAAGGGAATAATTACATATAAACTAAAACAAATTATGGTGTGTTAGTTTTAAATCTAGATGTTGTCACTAGTTATAATGACCCAACCGGTTGTTTTGAGTTCTAGCATCTCGCTCCTTAATTTGAGACTTCACATAGGTTCACTTGGTGTCTTATAACTTGTGAGTATTGGTGATTTTGGTCCCGAAGGTTTCGGGAAGGATTTCAAATGCTATCTTGCTACATTTAAGATTTAAAATTTAAATAGCAACCTTACACCTTGATTTTAGTATATGTGTTTAGATTCATGATTTGAAGCTTCTAATAGGTTCACGTGATGATTTTAGACTTGTACGTGTGTTCGAATTATAACCCGAGATGCTCGAGTGCATTCATAAGTATCTTGGTGGAGTTTAATTAGGAAATTATACCTAAAAATAATATCGTTGCCATGTGGTATGTGTTTGGGGGTAACATATATGTGAGGTGACGAGCATATATGCAGATGTCAAGTGTTTCTTGTATTCGAGTAAAGATAAATTTCATATGCTTTATTTATTTTACTTTTTTTGAACTGGAAAAGGATACTTATATTATATGTAACATACTAGGGCTAGAGCCCGTTAACATTGTCATTAGTACATATGCATTCATAGCCTATCATTATGCCTCGCAAGGCACAATCATTCCCTAGAGCAGCCAAACATTCACATTGGTCACTAGAACAGTTCCTAGCATAAACATACCCATCCTGATCCTTGTCATATACATCTACAATAAGTTCAGGTGGTAAAACAAAAGTACATAAGTTATTGTAGCTAGTTTTCTTTAACGCCGCCTTTGCCAAAAGATGTGCCACCATATTCCCTTCGCGGAAGCTATGCTTCAATGATATTGTCCCTTTCCATGATGCCTCCTCCATTAACAACCTGCATTTGTGAATTAAATTATTGTTAGTAGGGTAATCTTCACTAACGACGCGTATGACCTCTGTGGCGTCAGTTTCCACTTCTACTAGGAATAAATATTCCTTGATAATTAATTATAATGCATGCCAAAGGGCTTGGAGTTCCGTTTGTATTGGTGAGGTTGCTTGGATTTTCTTAAAAAATCTTGTCTTCCATTTTCCCTTGGAATGACGAACTACTCCACTGATGTCCCCTTCCAGATTGTTGCTTTCGAATGCACCATCTATGTTGACCTTGAACCAACCTTTCAGTGGCCACTCCCATTTGACATTTATCCTTATGACCTTGTTATAAGTAGTATTCTTGGTTGTAAGTAAGGTGTATTCAGTTGCTTGATCAATAATTTTTTTTAACTATGATGTGTGAGGTTTGGTTGTTGATGTTATTATGGTTTCTGTTGTTCCAAATGCCCCAAATAGCAAATGGTAGAACCTCTTTACAAGTTACGTAAGCCATTGAAATTTTTGGAGTTGTGTTTAGTAATGACTCAAGCCATGAATTAGCTGTCCTATAATTGTTTATGGACACCCCTAGGGTTTGCCATAAAGTGTGAGCTATGGGGCATTCCCAGAAGATGTGGTATATGGATTCATTGTTGGCCTTACATATTGGGCATGTTGGATCAATATTAATACCAATTTTAGCAAGATAGCCTCTTGTGGGTAGTCTCATATGGTAGAGCTTCCAAATGAAAAACATAATCTTGTTAGGGCAACGTAGCCCCCAAATCCACTTAAACGTTTGTGTATTTGGTGTTTGGTCTTCGATTAGCTTATAGGAAGAGGATGTTGTGAATATATCACTAGGGTTAAGACTCCAAATGAGATCATTTGGAGGAGTACTTTGGCAGTCTGGATCAAGAGCATATATACTGTTTGTGACTATTTTTGAGAGGTCGAAGGAAATTTTTTCTAAGTTTCACCCTTTTTTCTCCTAGATATCATTAATTGTTAACCTATCCTCTTTTTTATTTACAGGCCCTGAAATGCTATTACAAAGACTATTAATATTTGGGATCCAATTTGTGTCCCAAATAGTCATATGGGAGTGTCTATTTACTGGCCACCTAATGCCTTTATGGCATATAGTCCAACCCGTTATTGTCGCACCTCCTTTTCGCCGCGCCCGCAGGGCGCGTGGGGAGTTTTCTCCAATTGAAG